TCTTTGTGCTGTGTCTCCCTCTAGATCTCTGGCTGCCTCTCTGTCTTTTTCTCTGCTGTTTCCTACCCTTCAAACCCAAAGTTTTCAAAATGAGGCCCTGGACTTCCCCTGGGAAACCCAGCTGGGATGAATGAATGAATGAATCAATCAATGCTACTTCTCTTTTCTGTCAGCACCAGCCCGCACAATGTCTGTCCCCACTCTGTCCACAGCGCCAGCCTGCACAATGTCTGTCCCCACTCTGTCCACATACCTCGGCCTGAATCTCTGTCTCAGACTAGCTCTGGAGGAACTCTGCCTGTGTTTAACCCCTGGCCCTACTGTGTGACTCTGGGCAAGTAATTTAACTACTAGTTAACTGCTTACCTGCCTTGGTTTCTTCATCTGTTAAACGGCATAATAATTCCTACCTCATAGGGTTGTTGTGAGGATCAGATGAGATATTCCATGTTCAGACTCTTAACACAGTGCCTGGTACATGGAAGATGCTCCAAAAGTATTAGCTGTTATTATAACTTTTAAGTTATCATTGTTACTCCAGGCATTTAAAAGAAATGGGCGGGGGGCACATGGGGACGGCAACCTGAGTTTGGGTGGGGGGAATAGACAGGCTGAGACCAAGACTTCAGGGTCAGCTGCCTGGGTTGCATCTTAGGTCCAACAAGTGTGACCTTGGGAAGTTTTCTCACCTGTTAAATGGTGATAATAACAATAGTTCTAACTTCATAGGGTTGTCTTAAGGGCTAAATGAGATAATGCAAGTCAGGTAATTAGAACAGTGCCCAGCACATCATAAGCTCTAAATAAATGTGAGTTACTGATACTTCCTAGAGGAGCAGAACTGAAAGAGGCCTTAGAGGTTACCTAGTCACAGCCCAGAGAGGGGCAGGGTTTTTCCCTTTGCCACACAGCAAGGGCTTTTCCCTTTGTCACTGAGGCTGGGGATGGGTGGCTGGGAGCCCAGGGTTTTAGAGAGTGTGTAACCCCAGGAGTCACACCAGGAGGGAGCAGAGTGGTTAAGGGCATTGACTGGTTCAGACCCTTACTCTGCTGTTACCAGCTGTGTGGCCTTGAGTGAGTCCCTCCCCCTCCCTGAATCTCCTTTTCTTTAACTCTTGAAGAGTGGCAGTCATACCACCTCACAAGGCTGTTTATGCATTTATTGAAACTGACTTACTGGACATTTACCACGGGCCGGGCACAGGCTAGCTGCTGGAAATCCCAGTGGGGAATGAGACAGCTAAGTCCTTGTGCTTTGGAGCTTACCTTCTGGTGGTTGGAGACAGACAGTGGAAAGGGTAACAAAGAAGACCATTTCAAAGGAGAGCTCTGAGGAAATGGAGCACAGGAATGGGGCAGGGCTGGATGGGGGAGGCCGGTGCCAGCATTAGACAATGTGGTCAGGGAAGGCCTCTCAGAGGAGGTAACATTTGAGTGGCAACCTGGGAGGTGCAAAGTGACTATGGGGAGCTCTGGGCAAAGGGACCTCCAGGCAGAGGGAGCAGCGAGTGCAAAGGCCCTGAGGTGGCATGTGCTCAGCATGCCAGAGGAGCAGCAAGGAGGCTCGTGTGCTGCAGGGCTGGTCAGCAGAGGCCAGATTATGTGCCCCTTGTGGTCCCAGTAGAGTCTGCACTTTCTTCTAAGTGGGCCAGGGATACTGGGAGGTTTTCAGCAGGAAAGAGACAGAATCAAATTTATATTTTGAAAAGATTCCTCTGGCTGATGTGTGGAGGAGAGACTGGGCGGGGGGGGGGCAAGACTGGCAGAGGGGGGCAGCTCCTGTGTTGTGCAGGCTGGAGGGCACGGTGGCCCTGCCAGGGCAGTGAGGAAGTCTGATGAGTACAGCGAGATAATGTCATCAACTCCTCCCCCAGGCCGGGTACAGCCGCCATGAATGGAACTGAGCCAAAATGAGGCTTCTAGCTCCTGAGAGCTGTGTCTTGGTGGCTTGGGTCATGAGAGGGGGGTGTGATGTTGAGGACCAGGCCGGCTCTGGGGCAAACCTGGCTTGGGTAGTGTCTCTCTCTCCCTCTCTCCGTCTCACTTTCTTCTTCTCTCTCTCTCTCTCTCTCTGAGAACTGCTGCTGCTATTACTCCCCAAAGACTTTACATAATTCTGGCCCAGCTCCCTCCTCATGATGTCATGTGTTGAGTGGAGTCTAGGTCACTCCATTGCATGCTGCGGTCGGGGGGAGAACAGACTTCTGGCTCCCCTGGCATTGCGGCGGGGCACAGACGTTCCCCTCACTAGGGTGGGGGTGGTTTGGCTTTCGGCGGGTGGAGGCACAGTCCAGCTCCAGCCCCTGGCCCTTTGGATGGCTCAGGCAAAGCCAGGGCTTCCTGCAGTGGCTCTGTCTGACAAGTGGTGAGGGACTGTGTTTGGAGGCACATCCCTCCAGAGCTGGGGGCCACTCCCCTAGAGCCCAGGCCTCCTGCAGGCAGTCCTGATGTCCACCATTTCTGCCGGGTTGCTTCTCTGAGTCTCACTTTCCTACACTGTAAACTGGGGACAAAGATACCCAACCTCAAGGGGATGGGTGGCTTCAGTGAGCTCACATGGGATCTGTTGCACAGCAGGAGCTACCCTGAGGACAGGGGCACACGCATGTGCTGTATATGCTGGGAGGGGCAGACAGAGCAGAATCTCCACCTCAGACTCTCTTGGGGTTGCCTGGACCCAGCCTCGTGGCTTCCTCCGCTTCCTACCGTCCCCCATCTCTGCCCTTCTCCTGGACCCTACTCTCCAATTCCAGGGAGAACCAGGAGAGGGTTGAGCCCCTCTCTCTTGCACAGGTGAGGAAACTGAGGCTCAGCGTGGCTTGCTTAAGGTGACATAGCCTAGGGTGGCAATGCCAGAAACAGAATCAGACCCCGTGAGTGCCAACCCCAGGCATTTTCTGATGCACTTCACAGTGCGGGGTGCCTGAGGCCATGGGGGAGGTTGAGGAGGCTCCGATAAGAGGGCGAGACCAGTGGAGACGGGCTCTGCTCCCCCTTTGCCGTGTTTTTTTTTTCCTCTCCAGAAAACAGTTTGGTTTGCAATTTTAGGAAACGTAAACAACAGTTACTGGGTTTCCCCTCCCAACCTCTGAGAACAGGGTGTGAAGCTCTTTAGAGCTGCATTTTGTGTAATCCTCACAATACCTGTGAGAGATGAAGTCTGATTATCCCCATTTTACAGGTGAAGAACCTGAGTCCCAAGTGGGGCTGGGGGTTCACATGCAGACCTGGGTATTCCAAAGCTCTCCTCTTTTCCTGTACACATGCTGCTCTCATCAGAAGCTCCTGGAATTGTCCTGGATCCCCAAACCCTGACCCATACAGGACCTGAGCTTTGTGAAGAGACAGAGACAGCAAGTCCCAGAGCTGCGGTGATGTTTGGCCCTGGAGCTAATAGGAGTTTGATTTAAAGGGGAACAGGGAGGATCAAGGGTGTGTACCCTGACCCCCATCCCAGCATTGGTTACTATTCCTGACTCAGTATTTACTAGGGATGGGGGGAAGGTGGAGAGAAGAATGTGCCTCCCCTGGTTTCCAGAATTACTAAATTCTTGTTAGATCTTTAAATTTTATGTAAATTCTTCTTTTTTTCCCCCTTGGAAAGGTGAGTATCATATTTTAATTAGTAGTGGTGTCAAAGGGGGGCTAGATTAATTATTGGAAGTCTTGAGTTCCAGATGGTTTTAATTTTCACAGCAGGGCACCAGGGTCTATATTTGTAAATTTTTTTTATTAAAATCATACCTGGTGTATTTTAGGGGCACTGAGGTACACTCTGTGGCTCCGAGGATACTGTACTCAGGAATTTGGGGCTATGATTTTTGTTATGGAAAAGCAAGTCCCTTGCCACTGAAATTAAACTTTTGTGGGTGAGGGAGGGGCAGGTGCTGGGAAGCAAAAGGTCAGGGAAGGAGTGTGAGAATTGGGGGGATTGCATGCACAAAAAAGCTGCGGAGAGGGGAGGTGGTGGTGGGGACCCAGGCACAGGGACTTAAGACCAGAAAGGAGAGAGAGCTCAGAGAGGGTGTATGGCTTACCAGAAGTCACAGAGCACCCTACTGGGGAAAAATGTGGACTGGAAGAGGAAGAGGGAAGGGTCTGGACACAGCATGCCTAATCAAGGGACAGTCACACTTTGGCCACTCGATGTCCTTGTTCAGTCAGGGCTTTGGAGGATCAGCTCTGAACACCCTCATCCTGAGGGAGGCTTGGTGGAGCATGGATGGTCTAGCATGGGGTCTCCCACCCTGGACCACAGGAAATTGAGTCCTGATTGGAACTTCTGGGCTCATGGGAATTAGTTACCCCTTAGCTTTGGTGGCCTTGATTGAGGGAAGTGGAATATCCTGGAATAAGCCCCTTCCCAGGGGGCTTGCTCCTCCCCTCCCTGTACCTTCCCTGCTTTGAAGGCCAGAGCAGAGGTGTCAAGGGGGCACTAGCAGGGGTTCCAGATGTTTGCTCTGGGCGAAGGGGCCTCAACCTAACTTTTGGAGGAAACAGCTTGATGTCCCAAATGCAGGGTGTGTGTGTGTGTTTGTGTATGCACACACATGTGCATCTGTCTGTCCACTTAGTCCAGAGATTGCTACTTCTCTGGGGTTATTTGTGTGGCCGTCTGTCCTGTTTTGGGGCATGGGGTTATTTGTATGGCTGTTTGTCCTGCTCTGGGGAATGGAGTTGAGGGGTTGGGGGAGGTGTGTGATGAAGGGGATAAGAGCACACTGATATCTAGCCACAGGGGACGGAATTCCCCTCTGGCTGGAGCCATCTGGGGCCCAAGTGGAGCCAAGATCCTGGAGTGGGGGAACAGGTGAAGGCAGCTTCCATCTCCCTGCTTGAGGGGCAGGGTGCTCCAATGGGACCTGTCAGAGGCTCCCCTGTGCCTAATTTTGGGGAAGTGAGGGACCAGGGATAGGGTCAGAAACCATGTCACTGAGCCTTTAGACCAAGCCATTGCCCCTGGTAAAAAAAGTGTCTTTTTCTCCTTCTGCCTTTCGAAGCCCAGCTCCTAGTGGAGACAGACACCTTCGGTAGTCAGGTCCGGATCAAGGGCAAGGAGACAGAATTCTACCTGTGTATGAACCGCAAAGGCAAGCTTGTGGGGAAGGTAAGTGATGGTCTGGAATTCTCAGGGAACTCGGGGTCCCTCTCTGGGAGCTCTGGGGAGCTGAACAGTGTGTCCAGGGCCCTGTCAGCTAGGATATGTCTTAAGACACAGAAGAAAACTTTACAAGCTGGGCATTTAAGTATATTATAAATCATATATATATATACCCAAATGGAAAACAGGCCCAGTGAGCGTATGTGTGTGTGTGTGTGTGTGTGTGTGTGTGTGTATGTCTGAGTGTGTGTGCGTGTGTGTGTCCCCAAATGGAAAACAGGCCCAGTGAGCGTATGTGTGTGTGTGTGTGTGTGTGTGTGTGTGTATGTCTGAGTGTGTGTGCGTGTGTGTGTGTGTGAGAGAGAGAGAGAGAGAGAGAGAGAGAGAGAACTCCCCATTGTAATCTCTTCCTTTCACTCCCCACTTCTCTGCCTCAGCACCTGAAGCCCACCAGGCCGAGGCTGTGACTTTTGGGTGTACACAGGGCTCTGGTCTCTCCTGGCATATGTGGAGCTCTGGCTGGCTCAGTAGTGGGAGAACCCTAGAGGAGCTCTGGGGCATCCCACCTCTGTGTTCTTGATGTCTGGGAACAGGGTACCAGCAAGCCAAGGGCTGTGGCTGCAGCCATCATTTTAACAGTCGCCTGGGGTTTACAGTGCCCCGCAGCAGCGACCTCCAGAACCCGGCCGCCCCGTCAGCGCTGGGCCTCACGGTTCTAGCATTTCAGGAAGATTTTATTACTTTGGAACAGGCAAGAAAGCTGCATGTAACAAATTAGGGCAGGGGTGTGGGTGTGAGTGGAGTGGACCCAAGTGCTGGGGGCTGTGAGTCTCCAGCAATGCTGCTTCTCGGTACCCCTCTTTTTCCCCTGGGTGTGTGTGTTTGTGAAAGTCACACACTTGCTTCCTTTGGGCGTATAAATGGAAGATGTTACTGGCAGCAGCTCTGTGGTGGAGTCAAGTGCTCTGTCCCCTTCTCTCTGTAGGGGCTTTACTCCCTCCCATATCCAACTTGTATAACTGGGGGGGGGCGGGGGGAGATTCTCTCTGGACAGGTGGAGTCAGGGTGGAGGGTAGACCCAGAGTCCAAGGGAGATGTGGAGACAAGGCTCTGGCTGGTTATTTGTAGTTCATTACACTTTGTTGAGGGTCGGGGGAATATGGCTACAGTTGTGTTAAAGCCATGTTTTTGATTTCTTGAATCCCCCAGCTCTTCTCCTGCTTCCTCTCCCCCACACCTAAGTGGCTAGGGAGGGTGTAAAAGGCCAAGGACCTGAGACAGGGCACTGTCACGTTCTTATTTGTTAACAATAGCCTCTGTTAATTGAGCACCTACTTTCTGCCAGGCACTGAACAAAAACCTTTCCAAATAATCCCACGAGGTTGGTACCCCTACCATCCCCATTTCACAGATGAGAAAGCTGAGGCTTGGCCACGTCCTGGGCCCTCCTCCCAGGTCCCACACTGGAGCTAGGCGGAATTCAAAGCCCAATTTGGAAGGAAAAGATTCCAGCCGCACTGCCCACACCAACTGCAGCTTCTCAAAGAGCAAAATAATAGTGATCCGAAGAGCGCGGCTCCGGGATGCCGAGGAGTGGTTTTAATTAGTGATTCACTCTCCGCCGTTGCGAGGCCGGCCGGCTGGAGAGGGGGCTCGGGGCAGGGGCTGGGGGCCGCGGGCCGGGGCGCG